GGAAATCAGTTCTATAGTAAATTATCAATGAATAACATATATGTATCTGGTTTAGATATACATCCATGTATCTGGTTTAGGTAGGTGGGTGGGGGGGGGAAGGCATTTTGCACTTTCACTGCACTTTTGCCGGTCTTTTGCTGGTTCCTGTGAAACTACACGTCTCACCCTGATGACACAGCTACACTCTTGTAGAGTGTAAAAGCTCTTCCGGCGCAGTTCAGCGACGGGGGGGGGGCATTTTGCACTTTTGCTACTTCCCATCGACGTGTCGACCTATCTAGACAGCCTCTTCTCGAGTTGACAGGTTTTAACATGATGGCTTGACGACCTTGCTCCAGCTTCACAAGAGTTCACAGGTTTCACCAGAGTGAGACTTGTAAACCGGAACTAAGGAAGCAATGATAGTACAAAATGCCCCCGTCGCCGAACTGCGCCAGCTCTTCCTATTGCATAGCTCTACTTCAGGTCCCCGCATGAGGTTTGGCAGTGGCCGGTGAAAACCAGCGAAATGCCCCCACCAAGGCGAGCTGGGCCTGCGCCATTCAACATTGGTGACTTGCTGCCAAGCAAGTTCCTCTAGCCTGTCTCGGCATTCGCTTACGATAGTATAAATTATGAAAATTGAGGATATGAAAAGAAGTGGTAGTCTCCGATTCACAGGTACCACCTAGAAACATGCTGACCTGATTTTCATGACATGGTCCCTGACAGAACTCGGTGAGAGTGGCAAGTGTTTGGTGTGATGAGGCTGAAGTTATGCTCACCAATTTCTCCAAACACACCCAAACTACCCTTCGTTGAACCGCATACCTAAAATCAGACTGATCCTGTCAAGCTGGAAGATAACTAGACTGACAGCACGCAGTAGTAGTTTCTTACAGTATCCAGGAAACTGAGAGTGTCGGAAACCAGGTTGTGATTGGTTCGATCGGATTGTTTCCGGATAAAGTTCTGCAGAAGATTATTGTGATTCTCGCATAGGAGTTGCAGTACACGAAGGATTGGTTCGACAATTGCAACCTCAGGCGGTAAAGCGTCACTGGTCCTAAAAATAGGTATAATCCCTTTAGAAAACAGCAGGAGATCAGTCAAGGCTCTGGTAAAGAAGTACACTCGAAATCCCTGCGATGGAGTAGGCGTGGCTGCGTACTTCAACTAAACGTGACGGTGGCTGTGCTTTTGGTGAGATATTTCATTTTGAAACAATTGTGGTCATGCCCCTGTTCC